CATCACGGTATCAATCCTCCTGTGACATCATTGTCTACTTTAATTCTTAAGAAGCAATTAGTCAATTTCAAGCTTTGTCATCTTCGTATTTCTCACGGGTTTAATGGCGTTGGTGTGGAGTTACTACACTTTTGCTATGGGGAAATCTGGAAGCATTTTTGAGTGTGTTAATAGGGCATAGAGAAATTCCTGACACATGAAATGTTTTATATACAGAATATGCAATTCAAAAAAAGAGGACTTACTGAGTAGGAAGAAGCTAGGCTTCTTGAGCAAAGGGTCTACTTTTAGGTCTGCAAGATTGATGGAAGGGCCTTGTTTATTGTACCTTTGTCAGATCTTTGTTCCCTGCAGGTAAACATGAGACAAGTTTGAAACTTAGGCCAGCTGGAAACAGGTCTCTGCCCACAGCTCCCAGCCCCGGTGCTCATTAGTTTTCTTCTCTGCTTCTGTCAAATAGTAGTGGAGGAGATCTCTGGGTGTTGGTCACTGGGTCCTTGCCCAAATGGATCTTTGTTTTAAATATAATCTGGACCCCGAATATAGTTCTTGGCCCTTCTGCCTTGTAAGATACAGGTCCTCAACCCTCATATTCCCAATTCCATCCTCACCTCCCTTATTTCCAGAAAGTAAACCTTACCTGCACCTCCACTGAGATCAGTATGCACCCAGTTTTTATCCTACTGTTACCTTCTAACCTGGGAAATGCTCATATCACAATCTACTATCCAAAATAGAATGTTTCCACCTATTCATTCTTCTTTCTCTTTCTTCCTATCTTAGAGCAAGAAGTGGTGAAGGTAGAATGGGATGTGCTTCCTACTTGGCATCATGTCTTTTGGTTATTTGTTCTCTTTTTGACCTTCAGTTTCTCTCTTTCCACTGGATTTTTTTCCTCTAACACAAATATGTACGAGCATCTCTTTTTCATAACAAAATGAACACAAAACCTTTTATTGATCCTGCTGTTCGTTTAGACAATCTCCCATTACATCAATCAGGCCAGCCTTTATCATCCATCCAGTCAACCTTCCAACTATCCTTCCATTCAGTCTTCTAGTCATCCCTCCCTTTCTCTCTCCATCTCTTCATCCGACATTAACTGATTGCTTACAGTGACCTTATTTTACACATTAGAAAACTAAGCCCCAAAGGATCAAGAAAACCAACCAAGATCACATAGCCTGCCTATCTAGTTTAAAGGGGTTTTGCCTTTAAACTAAATGATAAGGTACCTGTTGACTTCCTAAATGCCAAACCCATTTGATACTTTTTAGTTCTTATCTTACTTCACCCTCTTAGGGGCAGAGCATGAATAGGAAAAAAGCACAGGAGAGGTTAAATTTTTAAGACTATGAAATGCATATTTATATTTTAATTTTTTTGGTTATCTGTCAGACTAAAAACTTGTTCTACTGTGGCAGGCCTACTGAGCTACTAGCATGTCCAAGAAGTACTTTTAAAATCTGAATTTGTTTATGAGAGCTTTGCTGTTTGCATTGTAGTTATGCACCAGGGAAAAGAATTCAAAGTGACACCAAATATGTGCACCTTAAATAACACCATCTGCCCATTTGGATCTGTGCAGCTCTTTTAAAATACTGTGAGGTGCTTGCCCAAAGCCTGACATGTTTCAGGATAAGCGAAAGATTCTTATGCTAAGACCCTAGATGAGAACACTGTGTTTAAAGTTTCAGAAGGTTTTGAGTTCTTCCCTTCTTTCTTTCCTAGTTGTTCATTCAATATATATTAGGACAGGGGTCCTTTTTTATTCTAGTGTCCCCTGTATACAGCAGAGGTCCATCTTTATACTTGTGTTCTCTGTACACAGCAGGGCTGTACTATTGCAGTGATATGACAGGCCTGAGAAGACCCCCCTTTTCCTTCCCAAACAGCTGCATGAATGACCCAGTCTTTACTGAAGTCTATTATTACTGCATTAGAAATACTGGATGGAAGGTCTATCACCTATTATAAAGCAAATGTCCAGTTAATAGGAGTCATTTTTACCTTAGGATGAATAATCTGGTCCCGTTTGATAGACTACTTCTGGATTGGTTTTTTATAACCAATAAAGCACAGAGGGACAGTGTCAGAGGGCACTTGGGAGTAAAGATTTGAAAAAGGGAATGATAGGTTACATCTGTTTGTTTACATGAAACGAGAGCTATAAAAAGTCTTGTTGGCTGGGCGCGGTGGCTCACACCTGTAATCCCAGCACTTTGGGAGACCGAGGCAGGCAGATCATGAGGTCAGGAGATCGAGACCATCTTGGCTAACACTGTGAAACCTTGTCTCCACTAAAAATAGAAAAAATTAGCCGGGTATGTGGCACACACCTGTAGTCCCAGGTACTCGGGAGGCTGAGGCAGGAGAATCGCTTGAACCTGGGAGGCAGAGGTTGCAGTGAACCAAGATCGTGCCACTGCATTCCAGACTGGGTGACAGAGCAAGACTCTGTCTCCAAAAAAAAAAAAGTCTTGTTTTAGAGCCTTGGTAACATAGTGACAAAGAGCAGGGGCTTCAGGCTAAGTGACTATTTAATTAGCTATGTGACTTTAGTCAGGTCATTGTACCTTGATGGATAGTCCTTATTCTGCATCTGTAAGTGGACTCTGCAGAATCCTGTAAGGTCCTTTTTAGCACTGACACTTTATGGTTCTCCTGGAGGAACTGAGAAATCTGAAGAAACCCAAGGTTTGTGTGTGTGTAATGGGCATAGGCATGCCTGGAGCAACCTGTGAGAGGTATTATGGATCGTGACAAACACTTGTAGTGGCAGGGGCCACGTCTTTGTGATCCTGGAGCATAGCTTATGATTGGTGTGGAGCATGTAGTGCTGTGTGATGGAATGAATGAACTAAGGACTGGCAGGTGCACCAGCTGCACAATATAGAAAGCAGAAAAACCACTTGGGGCAAAGAATGTTCTGGGTCCTTTGGAGTCTGTCTTCTCTTTTAATAAAGGCAAAGCGATGAATCTAGGGCTTTGTTGAGTGGTCAGGACTGTACAATGAGTATTACCCTTTGTCATGATAATTTCCAGTACTTTCTACCAACTGTCTAGTAACAGGCAAAATGCTGTACTAACCTGAATTGTAGACTGGCATAAAGAGGGGTGCCTCATGGCAGTATGTGAGGTGGGCTGCCCATGGGAGGCATGTACATCATTAACATCATAAATGGTTCCTTTGGTATTACTTTTGGAAACCAACTGCAGCAGGCACTGAATTAGGTGTTTTATATGGGGTTAGTATGAAAATTGAAGATCTTTGAGATAAATAATAAATCTGATTTCCACTTACAGTTGAAGAAACTGGTGTTCGGATAATAACTCACCAGGGGTTATAGATGCTCCCCTAGATCCATGGTGTGTAAATTTATCATTCCCAAACTTTCTTCCTTTATGCGAAATCCCACTCCTAGTCATTACAAATGTTACAAATTAGTCTTGTCCCTTTTTAACATGATAGTTTATTCAGCCCTCTCTGCCCAGAGAAAATACTTAAATGTTTTTACATGTGATAATTCACAATAGGTTGAACACTTTAAAATCTGAAAATCTGAAATCTTAAGTGCTCCAAAATCTGAAACTTAGTAAGTGCTGACGTAACACTTGAAGTGCTCCTTGGAGCCTTTTGGATTTTGGATTTTTGGATTAAGGATGCTCAACCAGTGTGATGTGTGACACACATATTCCAAATTCTAAAAATATTCAATATCCAAAACATTTCTGGTTCCAAGCATTTCATTTAAGGGATACTCTGTAGTCAGAAAGAGTAACTACCTGGGATTAAATCAAGATGTCCTATTCTAGGACTGGAAACATTTCATTTGATTGATACTTCCTTCTGGTCATGCATAAATGTTCCTTATGTCTTTTTAGAAACCTTTAATACAACAAAAGAGAGAAAACATCAGTTTTAAAATTATAGCCCAAAGTCCATTCCAGAGTAGATAATCTTGTTTTTATGGAATAAGTAAGAATAAAGATAATTCTATGTTAATTGCACATTTTATGTTATAAAATGTAGCTATCCTATGAGACTCTGGGATATGATTGATTCTTGAAATTCTTCTATGGAATGATTTGTGACTGCCTAAGGAAACCACCAAGCAGTCAGGGAGGAGAGAAAAGGATGTGGGAGAGAGCCACTTTGAGCAGTGGTAGGAAGTGTTCACTGTAGAGAGGCAGAGAGATCAGGTAAGAAGGATTGGGGGAGGTCACTTGCTTTTCTAGTGCTTAGGAAATCCTGACTTCAGTCTAATCATGTAAGCATCATTGTTTTTTCATTACTGAAAGTTATTTCTTTTCTCTCTTGTAATTCACAGTACATAACAATTAGTAGACTTGTGAACTAGGAAACATTAATGGTGTACAACAGATGCTTGTGTTTATAAAGCACTTCTCTGCAAGTGGAATAATGCTGAACCTCAGTGGTTGGGTGCTATCCATGTGGGAAATGGGATACATCTTATTGTTTTGTTCTGTAAAACCAGTAATTTTCTAAGAAGGTCTTACCAAACACCCCCCCCCCCCCCACCCCCTACACGCACAAATGTTACTCTTAAGCATTTTATACGGGTATAGTTTTTATCAGAATTTAAAGTGCAAAGAACTGGAATATTTCATAAGTCATATTTCAAAAACTGATTTATGTACATTTCTGGAAGTGTCTTTCAGCTATGGTGATTTTATTTGCATATTATATATAAATTTGGAGAAAAGTTATATTGAGTAGTTCTTAACAGCTTTTTTTAAAATCCATGATTGATATTATAGTGTTTTGAAACCAGCATTAAGCAGAGAAAACGACATTAAGAATTTAAATGTTTTATTAATTTTCCTAAAATCTAATTTTTAGAATAAACAATTTTTGAAATAAAAATTAAGTACTTAAGGTGGATAGATTAATATAAATGTAACATATTTTATGAGCATGTATACAGAAGTCATAAATGATAACAGGGACCATAAACACGCTTATTTTTCTGTTCTAGATATTTGAATGGTGGTATTTTCGCAAGTATGGAACTTCATTCATTGAACAAGTCTCAGTAAGCCACTTGCGCCCCCTTCTGGGAGGGGTTGACAACAACTCTTCCAACAATTCTAATTCCAGTAACGGGGACTCAGATTCCAATAGGCAAAGTGTCTCAGGTATGGAATTTCCTTCAGTTTGCAACATTATTTGCTTACACTTACTAAATTATTGTTACTCATACTAAGACAGTAAGAATGCTGTTATTTAAACATTGGTCTTCAGAGAAGAATGCAGTTCATTTTCCCATGGAGTTGACAACCTGTGTTAGAGAAGGAGGGTATAAACATCCTAGGGAAAGGAAATGCTTATCTTATTAATTTTACCCTTTTATTTTCATGTGAGGGGCTTGCTCTGTCAGGCTTGAGTGCAGTGGCATGATGTCATCTCACTGCAGTCTCTACCTCCTAGGCTCAGGTAATCTTCCTAACTCTCAGCCTAGTAAATAGCTGAGACCACAGGTGTGTACCACCATGCCTGGCTAATTTTTTTCTAATTTTACTTTAGGTTCTGGGGTACATGTGCAGGTCATGCAGGGTTGTTGCATAGGTGCATACATAACCAGATGATTTGCTGCCTCTATTCTGTCTTTTGTAGAGAAGGGGTTTTGCTGTGTTGTCTAGGCTGGTCTCAACCTCCTGTGATCAAGTGATCTGCTGGCCTTGGCCTCCCAAAGTGCTGGGACTATATGTGTGAGCCACTGTGCTGGCCTAATGTTATCTTTTCCCGTTTGACTTAGCAAATGGTCATTTAGGTCAGTGTTCCCAACCTGATGCTATAGCTTCCTTGTCCATAGTTTCTCAAACCTCAATGAATAGATTCATTTTCTTTCACGATAATTGCAGAATCTTGTATCTAAGTAGATCTGATCACATCACTCCTCTGCTTAAAAGGTATCATTGGTTCCCATTCCACTGATGATAAGGCCCAGATTCCAGATTCCTTAGCACAGCACGAGCTGCTTGCCAACTTTGGCTTCTGTCACAATGCAGTCCCTTTCCCATATGTCCTATTTTCTAGTCACATGAAGCCAATTTTTATTTCTTGAACATGCCATATTTCTCATGACACTATGCCTAGAAGTCTCCTTTTCCCTTATTTATCCATCTCAATCGCTATCCAAATCAAATGTCACTTCCTGGGAAGTCTTCTCTGATAGTCTGTACACTCTCTCTCTACTTCCGTTAATTTTTAATATTTTTACCTTTAGCAACACTTTTCAAATTGCATTGTAATTTTTAAGGTATGGCTTTATTGTAGTATCTCTAGCATCTTGCAGTGTCTACTATTTCTTTGAAACAAAGCTGCTGTTACAGCACTAAGAATAGCATTAACATTCACATAACGAATAAGGCTTAATCAAGGCATCCACTAAGACAGCAAAATAGTGACAATGGGAAGGGTAGGAACTCTTCGCTGCATTGAGAAATGATGTCAAGAGATTCAGATCAAGTAGAGAGAGAAGGGAGACTTTAATGAAAATATGAGTGTATTCACTGTAAAAATGGTCTCAAATGAGGATGCTTTCTGTTTTCAATTTGTTAATTTTCTATGATGTTCTTTGTCATTCAAAGGCTATAGTAACTCAAGTCAGACAAGAGCACGTTTAATCTGTGGGGTATTCATAGCAGATGCAAAGTGGTAGCAATTATCCACCACTGCTCATGCTTGGTGACAGAATAATCAAGATTCCTCGTTAGAATAATAAACAGCATTTATTATATTTAGTAGCTGAATAAAGTAATATTTTGCTTTGCTGAGGTTTCTTTTCCTTTCACAAAGTGGATGAGTATGCACGATCTCAGACATTTTTGTTACCTGGCTGGTGGTGCCATCTTTCACATGTGTACCCTTTAAGATAAAATAAATTGTACCAAGAGGTCCCTAGTACTACTCATGGCTGGCTGGCAGAGTCTGTTAAAAGCGTATTGACTTAAGATCTGGAGCAAAATTTTTATATGTATACTGATCCTTGATTCTTATAACCTGGTTAGACAGTTATGAAATGTGGATGGGTTATTCTAGAGAGGAAGAAGAAAAATACCTAATGTGGCTTTTAAAATTTCTTCTTCTGTATTCTTCGAGTTTTAGAATGGGTGCTCTCTCCTTCAAGGAACAAACCACTTTTCCCAGCTTGGGTCAGGATCTCCTCCTTTGTTTTCCATAGATTTGTATGTTTTCCTCATACAACCCAAAGTACTCATCACTTTGTCTCCTTCAATAGACAGAGTTTTTCATGGGGATAAGAACTTTGCCTTTAAAAAAATCATATTCATAAAAGCCTATACAAGACCAGGTTCATAAGAAGTATTTAGGAAATGTTTACTGAGTTGATGAAGAGAGTGAGCTAGGAAATTCTTCCCACTTGTTTTATAAGAGGAGAAAGTACAGGCCTTTCATATACTCATGTGTTGATTCATTGAGTTTCTAAGAAATAGTAGACACTGCAAGATGCTAGAGATAAAGCCGTGCCTTAAAAATTACAATGCAATTTGAAAAGTGTTGCTAAAGGTAAAAATATTAAAAATTAACGGAAGTAGAGAGATAGTGTACAGACTATCAGAGAAGACTTCCCAGGAAGTGACATTTGATTTGGATGAATTGTTAAGGGAAAAGGAGACTTCTAGGCATAGCGTCATGAGAAATATGGCATGTTCAAGAAATAAAAATTGGCTTCACGTGACTAGAAAATAGGACATATAGGAAAGGGACTGCATTGTGACAGAAGCCAAAGTTGGCAAGCAGCTCGTGCTGTGCTAAGGAATCTGGAATCTGGGCCTTATCATCAGTGGAATGGGAACCAATGATACCTTTTAATCAGAGGAGTGATGTGGTCAGATCTAGTCAGACACAAGATTCTGCAGTTATCATGGAAGAAATGAATTCATTTACTGAGGATAACCTGTGGAAATTCTCACTTTTGTTTGTATCTTTTACCTGGCTAAGACTGAGCTTTTGGATATTATTACAAATTTGATAATATTGCTTACTAGTATTCAATTAATATTAATATCTACTAGTGTTTACTGAGTGCCTTCTATGCATTCTATATTTCCATTCATTTCTTGTATAATAACAGCATTTATTATCTGATATCATAACATAATAGTTATCCTTAGGAAAATGAAAATTAACTTTGTCTAAGTATATTTAGGTCTCAGTCTGCCCACTTCTTGATATTTGGGCTTCTGATAGTTGGCTGACTCAGCTAAACAAACATGTATGTTAGTTTGGAAATGTCAGATACCCCTGGAATAATACCATTGTCTGTTTCTGTTTTTTCGTAGTGATTTTGATTTTTGAATAAGAAAAATAATAAAAAGGTGCATTGTCTGAATTTATCTCTACTTTTAATCACTTTCTATTTCATAGTCTCATTTCAAATACTAAGTATCAAGAAGGTCCACAGCTGAGGGTTATTAGTGTGTATTCTTAAACTTGTTTAAAAATTCCCATTGCCTTCATAATAATAAAATGACTATTGCCTTAATAACAAGGTGAATCTATTGATTTTTCATGGAGCATCATAAGACGGCCCTTTGCTGAATTGTATATGAAATACAACATGACTAACAAAGTCTCATGGATGTTGGCAAAGTCAGTGTAATGGTATTTTATTGATTATTTGAGTAAATCCTTGAAAAAACTAAGACTACATGGAAAATATCAGTTTATAAACATTGTTCTATATTAAAATTTAATGTAGCTCTTTCCTTAAGGAATAATTTGTTTGGAATAGAAGCTGAAAAACATGGCCTACCTAAGAACGATTTGGGATGGGGGTGGTGGAGTGGGGAGTGAGAAGGGTTGTTATGGTTACAGGCAGATTGTGCTTATATTTTTAAACTTCTGGATTTGTACAAAATGGCCTGAATGCAGACTTGCTCAAAATTTGCAGTGATCTTTATCTGTGGGCCAGTGGAGAAATGTAGTTAATTATATGGTTTCTTACTTCAGTCAAACTTCAGGTTGTTTGGCTGAAGTTAACATTTGTTTCCTTTCTACTAGTTTTGCTTTATTTGGGAGCTAAACTGCTGTTTTCCTCCTAAATTTGCAGTTTCTAATAAACCCTGCTTATATATTCTGCCACATCACCATGTTTCTCACTATCATTTCTTAATTCAGCTTAGCTTATGAGCTGATGATGAATAGGGATTTAAAAGGGCCCAGAAACATTCTGAATTTGGGTTTGTGGGAACATCTGTTTGATAATTTGCCCTGTTCTCTCTCTCTCTTTTTTTTTTTTTTTTTTTTTTTGAGACAGAGTCTTTCTCTGTCACCAGGCTGGAGTGCAGTGGCATGATCTCAGCCCACCACAGCCTCCACCCGCCAGGTTCAAGCGATCCTCCCACCTCAGCTTCCTGAGTAGCTGGGACCACAGGCGCCTGCCACCACACCCAGCTAATTTTTGTAGTTTTAGTAGAGACGGGGTTTCACCATGTTGACCAGGATGGTCTCGATCTTTTGAGCTCGTGATCCACCCGCCGTGGCCTCCCAAACTGCTGGGATTACAGGCGAGAGCCACCATGCCTGGCCCCGTTCTCAAATAAGATGCCATAAAGACAAAGGTTTGCAGTGTTTACCTTCTTCAGGTTAATGGGAAAAGTGGAGAGTGCTCTGTCACATGAAAAGTATCCCTGCCAAAGTCAAGTTTAAATTCTCTAAGATACTTTAATAGCCTCTTGCATAGAACTGGATCTTTAAACAAACTTTATAGCCATTTGTGTTTCTGTCACAAATAATCTCATTTAATCTTCAGAAGATATATATATATATATGTGTGTGTGTGTGTATATTCCAAATTCTAGATAATTTTAACAATTCTATATAAATGTATATATTCTAAATTCTTAAATTTTATTATGTGACTAGAAGCAATTTAAGCACTGATTGAATACAGATAATAAAAACAATGGAGATGAAGAAATTCAGGTAGAGTAAAAAAAAAAAATATTTAAGACCTTTATAGATCCCAAATTCTCATTAACACTAGAACAAATAATTTTCTCCATAGGAAGCCATTTGGTTCCAGTAATAATAACTACCACTCTTAGTGTCTGCTATCAGCTTTATATGATATTATCTCTTATAATCCTCACAACAGCCCCAGGAAGCAGGC